ATATATATATATATATATATATAAAATAAAAAAAACAAAAAGATAATCTTAACAAGAAAAAAACGAAAACGAAAAGAGGAATTTGGATCCATCAAACGAACAGAAGTATTTCAGCCGAATGATGTCTCTGAGCGCGTACGTCTACCCGAGCAGCGGCAACACCGCCTCCTTCCCATCGCCGCTGATGGACTGCACGAGTGCCATTCACAACTCCGACAACATTCAAAACAGCACCCCGTACTATTCCGGAAGAAAGTCTGCCGCCACTGCCGCCTTTCAGGAACGCCTGAAGGGAATTCCCATCGTGATCGCAGAGAAACAGCCGTTGAATGCCCCCGCCCCGCGGCGCCGCACAAACGATCCCTACAGAGACACCGCCCCCGATGGATCCCCCTGCGTGCCAAAGTCCCCATTCACAACAGAGATGGGCTTTCTAATGTCGTACAAGGAGGACGATGTTAGTAGTATAGATACATCTCTCGCATCACCCATGCATTCCGCATTTACCGCAATGCCGCCGCAGAACAAGAGCCACAACAATATCCACAATAATAACAACAATAATAATAACAGCAGCAACAACAACAACAATCATCATCATCATAATAACAGTACTGTGCGGAGCTCAGCATGGACCTCATGTCTGCCACCTGCACCTCGCAGTGCCGCATCAACAACGTTCACACATCGTCCCCCACCCTTCACAACCACAATTGTTACCCCCTCCGCTTTTCATCATCATAACTCGAACGCTAATACCGTCGATATGAACACGTCTGAGTACAATAGTACAAAACGAGGGGAATCACGATGTGTTAAAAACCATTCAACGACACATTCCTCACACTCTGGCAATTCATCTACTCCTTTAACATCTACAATTACCACTTCTGTAACACATGTCCGGTGCAAGAGGGTATATGTTAACGGGCGTCCTGTTACTGTTTGGCTCAACGAAGATGAACAACCACAGTAGAGAGAGAGAGAGAGTGTTGTCTTTGAGTCACGTTTTGTTCTTTTTTTTTATTTTATTTTTTATTTTCTTTCTTTTATTAATGTTTCCCATTAAAGATGATCTGAAACAAATAAAGAAGGAAATAAAAAAAAAAAAAAAAAAGAGGAAAGAAGGAAAAGTGACACGTGAAACCAAATATCCGGTATATCTATATTTTTTTTTTTCTTTTTTTTTTCTTTTTCTTTTTGTTGTTTTTGTTGTTGTTGTTGTTCGTTTTTTTGTTATTCTTTCCGTGTGCAGAGTGGAGTAGTGTAGGGGAATTCAGTTGATGTGAATGGGCAGACTGAAGAGGGTGGGGAATTAATGTGGTTTGGACTCTCACAGCCTTAGCCACCTCGTTAAGTGTATGCGTTCGTGTGTTCTTTGGATTTCTGTACTCTGCAGTGATTCTCTCTTGTTTTGCAGCTTCAAATTACTACATACATACACATCCACATCCATTTCCTCAGTGCTGACATCAATTATTATTATCACTACTACTACCACCGCTCACGTGAGGTGAGCAGAGAGAGAGAAAAGAGAAACGGAGTGTGTTGTTTTTTTTTTTTTTTCTTTAGATGCGCCTAATCACCTCTTGTTTGAATTAAAAGATTATATATATATATATATATAATCTGGGAGAGGGTGGGAAAGGGAGGGTTACTGTGCGTACATGTGTGTATGTGTGCTGCAGCCATAGTAAGGGAAATGTAAATAACTAAATAAAAGGAAAAAGGAAACGACAGAGAAGGTTTTACTATAATAATAAGAAGGAAAAGAACAAAATAATTTAAAAAAAGGGAAAAGGGTTATCTTGAAGGCCTTGTGGAATTAGCCATTAGTCCGCATCAAGTTTTTCTTTTTTTTTTCTTTTAGGCTCTTTGGTCTTCTTCACTCTGTTTTTTTGTTTGTTTGTGTTTCTCCATGCTCCTTTTTTTTAAAATTATTACGAGTGTTTTAAACATTAAATTTCCCCGTTCATATACAGCAGACACATACATATTCATATCCACACAACTACATTATACGTATACATTTATACGAACTGTTTATTCGCTCCTGAGAAGGCCATGTTTTTTTTTTTTTTTTTTTTCTTTTCCTTTTTATTTTGCGTGCGTTTCTTTTTTTTTTATTGTTTTCTTTCATAACTTCCCATTTCCGCTCGCTATGTTTTATGCACATCATGCCCTTAAAGAAGAAGAAGAAGAAGAAAAGAGAAAAGAAAAGTGTACAGGGTAATATATATATATATATATATATATAAAGAAAAAAAGAAGAATAGTAAAAATAAACAAATGATGAACGAAATTTAAAAAAAAAAAAGAAAAAAAAAACGGAGAAAAAATAAATAGTACTAGCATGGGGATTTAATCAATGAGATTGGTTCCTACCAAAGGGGGGAACTTTGGAAAGGGAAGTTGAAATTAAAAATGACAGCAATATGTCCAGAAACGGGGAAGAAAAAAAAAATAAAATAAAATAAAAAAATAGTGTGGTACTGTGGGAAATGGAAATAAAGGGAAGTTTGAGGGAAAAGGCATAAAGATAGTGAGTGGAGGTACAACGGAAGGAAAGAGAATGTATTACATTCCTCATACCGTGAAAGTGTGTAAAGTAATAATAATAGCAATGAAAAAAAAAAAGAAAACAGTAAAAAAAAAAAGAAAACG